TGTCCTGTCTGACTGTGTCCTCTCTCTGTCCTGACTGACTGTGTCCTGTCTGACTGTGTCCTGTCTGACTGTGTCCTCTCTCTGTCTTGTCTGTCTGTGTCCTCTGTCTGTCCTCTCTGACTGTGTCCTGTCTGTCTGTGTCCTCTCTCTGTCCTGTCTGACTGTGTCCTCTCTCTGTTCTCTCTGACTGTGTCCCCTCTGACTGTGTCCTCTCTCTGTCCTGTCTGACTGTGTCCTGTCTGACTGTGTCCTGTCTGTCTGTGTCCTCTCTCTGTCCTGTCTGACTGTGTCCTCTCTGACTGTGTCCTCTCTGACTGTGTCCTGTCTGACTGTGTCCTGTCTGTCTGTGTCCTCTCTCTGTCCTGTCTGTCTGTGTTCTCTCTCTGCCCTGTCTGTCTGTGTTCTCTCTCTGTCCTGTCTGACTGTGTCCTCTCTCTGTCCTGTCTGTCTGTGTCCTCTCTCTGTCCTGTCTGACTGTGTCCTCTCTCTGTCCTCTCTGACTGTGTCCTCTCTGACTGTGACCTCTCTCTGTCCTCTCTGACTGTTTCCTGTCTGACTGTGTCCTCTCTCTGTCCTCTCTGACTGTGTCCTGTCTGACTGTGTCCTCTCTCTGTCCTGACTGACTGTGTCCTGTCTGACTGTGTCCTGTCTGACTGTGTCCTCTCTCTGTCTTGTCTGTCTGTGTCCTCTGTCTGTCCTCTCTGACTGTGTTCTGTCTGACTGTGTCCTCTTTCTGTCCTGTCTGACTGTGTCCTCTCTCTGTCCTCTCTGACTGTGTCCTTTCTATGTTTCTGTAGTTGTGGGACATCGGAGGACAGCCTAGGTTCAGGAGCATGTGGGAGCGTTACTGTCGAGGAGTCAGCGCTATCGTGTAAGTCCTTCCTAAATTCTGGTTACTGTCCCTGTTTAAACGGGCCGCTGGGACGTCTCTGCTTGGTCCAAGCCTGACAGGAGGACCAGAGACTTTAATGAGAGTGGATAGACAGAGGAGTTTGACCACCAGCTCCTCCTGCTGTCCAACAAACAGACGAGTGATCCAACAGCAGAGACCTGTTCATTATCAATCAGGTATCTGAACAGGAAGATGTGGGAACAGGAAGCTGCAGAATAGGAAGCTGTGGGGACAGGAAGCTGCGGGGACAGGAAGCTGCAGGAACAGGAAGCAGCTCAGATGAACAGAGGTCAGAGTGATTCTGGATTCAGTGTGTGGTCCAGTTCAGCAGCAGATTAGGAAACGGTCAAAGGATCAGAGGACAGATTCAGAGCTGAGAGGACAGTAAAGGATCAGAGGACAGATTCAGAGCTGAGAGGACAGAAGACAGGGACAGAACGTACAGATGTTCTCACAGTGTCTTCTCGTTGTAGGTACATGGTGGACGCAGCAGACCCAGAGAAGATCGAAGCCTCCAAGAACGAACTCCACAACCTGCTGGACAAACCGCAGCTGCAGGGGATTCCTGTAAGAACACACCCAGGGCACACTGATCGTGAGCCCAACAGGCCACGCCCACTTTTAAAAATTTATTTATAATCTATTCATTTTATTTTTGTACTCACCCTGATCAGAGGCCTGTACTACGAAGCAGGATGTGGAGTTAGTAAGGTAACTTCAGGGTTAACTCTGGGTTTCAGTCCTACGAAGCTGGTTTTTACCGGGATAAATCACCATGGTAACTGATGCTGAACAGCTGACCTGGGCCCTATTTCACAAAGCAGGATCAGTGAAAAACTCTGAGTTTGTTCAGCCTGAGATGAAACTCTGTTTTCTGTTTCACAAAGCCTGTTCAGTGTAACCCTGAGTCAGTTACTATGGCAACATACTCTGTGAAGCTAAGCTACTGAGTCACAGGTTTGCTTCATGTCAGCCTGAGGCTGAGCGTGTAGCAGGAAGTAGAAACATGGCGTGTCCTTTAGTGAATGAAGTGGTGGAGGTTGAGGCCCAGTGTATTCAGAGGCTGTTGTGTAAGGAGAAGGTGATTAGAGCCTGTTTGGATGTCTCCCTGGAGGAGTGTCTATATGAAAGATACTGTTTGACCTCACACTCTATCATTTATCTAACAATCTGTTCCACCCACATATATCACATATTACACATCCTGGATTTACATTATCATCACAGCACATTTTATGCATTGTCCTTTGATTCTTTTCTTTATAACATCAGAGACACTGAACACATCAGAGAGACAGCGGTTTGTCGGCCCGTAAGAAAAGTGTCTCTGGCTCTGAAAAGACTTTGGACCCTTGATGTGGTTTTCCCTGGACATAAACCAGAGAACAAAAGCACAAAAAATAATATGTAAAAAAGAACTGCGTCTCTTCAGACGGGTGTTTTTGTAGACGGTTCTTTTTAGACGCGCGTAGACGCTGAAAAGTTAAAATATTTTAAACTTTTTGAGCGTCAGACGCCAGTAGCACCATTCGTCATTGTCGTCATTGGCCCAGGCAGCCAATCAAATCCTCCTTCCTGTTTTGTTGTGGCAGTTACGGCAGTTTGGTCAGTTACAGCAGTTACGAGCGACAGACAACACAATGCAATCCGAAGACGGGAAATTTATCCTGACTTTGATTTTTAAGAATTATACAAAACACGCACACCTCAGTACTCGAACAAACACAGGAGGGGACACGCATGGAGTTGTGCGAGCAGCGCAACAAATTTGTCTGGTGAGTACAATGTAATTGACGACGACGATATCGTTGTAGCAGCTAGTTAACTTTCAGACAGTGGGATATGTGAGAGGGCTGGTTTTTGTGCTGCATTTTTATGTATGAAAAGTGCTATATAAACAAAGTTGGATTTGATTTGATAGCTCGTGATAGTTTCATGTAAGCTAGTACTGTCCCTACTGTCTTTGAGGGAAACACTACAGTGGTGGAAAGTTTTCGGACACCCTTAAAATTTTACACAATCTCAAATATTATCATGAAATATTTGTGGAAAAATCTTTTTTGTGTTTCAAAAGGTGTGGCTGTATTAGACAGATGCAAACAAATACAAATTATATATTTTTGTTTATTGTTTACAAGAAAAACTAACAAAACTAAATTCTTGACAGTTTCAATATGTCAGTTCTCAACATTGTCGGTATCAAAGTCAACAAATAACAGAGAATGTGTTCAAAACTGAACAAAAAATAAATAAACCATCACATCATCAAATTAATATTTAGTAGTCCTGCCATTGGCACGCAGTAGAGCTCTAATCCTGGCTGGCATGTTCCCCACGAGCCTTTCACACTGTTGAGGGGTAATCTTGTCCCATTCTTCTTGAATTACTGCTTTTAATTCTTCTAAATTCTTTGGTTTATGCTTTGAAACAGACCTTCTGATAATCCACCACAGATTTTCAATGGGGCTCATGTCCGGGGATTGAGCTGGCCACTCTAAGACCTGGATACTCTGCTCCTGCAGCCAAGTTCTACTGGCCTTGGATGTGTGGCAAGGGCCATTATCTTGTTGAAACATCCAGTTTTTACCTCGATGGAACAGTGCAAGCACAGAAGGGAGCATGTGGGTTTCGAGAATGGTACAATACTTGGTGCCTTGGAGTTTAATGTGCCATCACAGACAGTGAGATGACCAACACCAGCAGCACTCATGCATCCCCAAACCATGATACTGCCTCCACCATGCTTGACAGTAGGTACTGTACATGCTGGAGATAATGCTTCGCCTGGCCTTCTGCGTACCCTCACATTAGTAGGAGGAAGATAAAGCTGGAAACTGGACTCATCTGACCACAAAATCTTCTTCCAATTCCTGGCTGTCCAGTTCTTGTGTGCCTGGGCCCAACGACGCCGGGCTAACCTCTGTCTCTCATTGATCAGGGGCTTCTTGATAGCCTTGTAGGATCTTAACCCATGATCTAAAAGTCGGCCACGTACAGTGCGGGTGGAACACTGGACACCAGTTTGGTTTGACCACTGCTGCTGAATCTCCTGTGATGTCATTCGGCGGTTTTGCCTGCACATGTGGATCAGGATGCGGTCATTTCTTGCTGAAGAAACCCTTGGACGCCCAGATCTTGGTTTGTCTTCCAAGCTGTTGGTTCGTCTGTATTTCTGTAGAGTGTATCCAACTGCTGAAGGACTGCATCTGCACTTCCTGGCTATCTGGCGGCAGCTGTACCCTTCCTGGCTGAGAATCTTTATCTTCAGGCGTGTTTCCTGCGTTAGGTTCCTTGTTGTAGCCATTTTTGTGTCTGAAGAACTTTCAAATGTGCTGGCTTTATGTAGACACGAAGCTTGGCAACAAAAATTGTGTCTTTTAATAAAAAGAACGACCTTCATCACTGGTACCAAAATGACCCAATACTCAAAATTTCTTGTGTATTTTTATGGAACCAATCAATTTTAAGTTTTTAATGGCTTTTTTAGGATTTATTTAGTATTTTGGCTGTGACTGTACTAAAAGAAATTGCACTTGAAGACCTAAGAGTGATTCTTAATGCAATATTTCACAAATGCATGGGGTGTCCGAAAACTTTTTTCCACCACTGTATATTCAAGGGGAGACATAGGGAGATGACAGGAGGTGGGTGTGTGTGTGTGTGTGTGTGTGTGTGTGTTGCGCACGCACCCCCGCTCCACAGGTGCTCCTTGCTGGGGTTTTTTGTCTAGCGTGCATTGAATAAGCGCTTCCAGCGTTTCAAGCGTCTTTGAAGCATCCGTGTCTCTAGCGTCTCATTTCTGTGTGATCGCCCCCTAATGCTGATCAACCCGGAGATTGGGATTAGGCTCAGAGTTTGTTGAGCCTGCTTCCTGAAATAGGGCCCTGCTCCAGAGCAGGTTAACTTCAGGTTAAGGGATCACAGCCTGTCAACACCCCGACCTCTGACCAATCAGATCACTCAAGAAAAAAGTATCCATGGACAAAGTGTGGAGTGACAGGTAAAAGAGAGGAGCCTGTATGTTGTTACAGGTCAGTTAGAATCATTTCATATTTCCACTGGTTTTCAAACAGCTTCTAACAAACACAGAGATCGTTTACACACTAAACACATGATTTTAGCAGGATTTGAAATTAGTGAGTTTATTTCAGTGACTGCTGACAGTGGTGCTGCTTTTACTGTCTGATTCATCACTGCAGCTCAGAAGACATGAGACACCTGTGTGATGATAAAACAGGTCATATTTTATTAGTAAAATAATCCTCACACTGTTAATCAGCTCCTGTCATTATAAATGTCACATGTCAGTCAGACAGACTTCATCAGTCATTAACTACTTCTCCATTCTTTACTTCAACAGCAGAAACAGTCTGGTGTTATTCTAAAATGTTTATGACATATTCAGACAAGTTTCATCATCATCATCATCATCATCATCTTCCAACTAAACAGCGAAAGAGTACTCTGTTCTAACGTTACATACAGCTCAGTGACATCTGCACGTCATTTAAGGCTCGGATGGGGAATTGTTGGATGGTGTTTTTTCAGTGTGTCTAGATCTTACGTTTTAAGATTACAATTTGTTGTTTACATCCCGCGTCACTGACATTTTGCTGTCTTGTCAACAAAACACTGTCTCTACCATTTCATCTCATTTCATATGAAGCAGCTCCTTCATTCATGGGTCTGATGATGACGCTGGCAATTAACAACCCCGCCCCTTTTAACACGAACGCCCTCATGGCTGGAAAGGAAAACCCAGAGTTGACTGACCTAGTTGATAATCAGCATCGTAGTACTGGTACGGACGAGGACATCTAACTGGCCTACTGTCCTTGTTCCAGTATACAAGCACGGGAGGGGAATCCATTTATTGAGCCAAGTATGTGCAACTCCTCTACGATAGGTGGAGATATGCCCCCTTTCAGCTTGTTAGTATTGGACCTTTTTCCTGTTGACCTATTACGTCACAGACCAAACAATGGACAAACAAGTTAACTACAGTTAGCCAGCAGCTAACTGGTATCATGGTGGACAACTTTACAGCTCCTGGTCCTGGTCCTAGTCTCTGGTCCTGTTCCCTGGTTCTTGTCTTTGGTCTCTGATGTCTGTTCTCCTGTGTGTCTGCAGGTTCTGGTTCTGGGTAATAAGAGGGACCTACCAGGAGCTCTGGATGAGAAGGAGCTCATAGAACGGATGTGAGTTCTGACTGATCCATATAGATCTGATCACAGATTACTGTTTGACTGTTTACCTGTTTTTTATTGGAACTGACTCTGTGTGTGTGTGTGTGTGTGTGTGTGTTTTCATCAGGAACCTGTCGGCCATCCAGGACAGGGAGATCTGCTGTTACTCTATCTCCTGCAAGGAGAAAGACAACATCGGTATTACACACACACACACACACACACACACAGTTTCCTGATCTATGTACGCACAGTATGCAGAAACAGACCCTCCTCATTCACTTCAATGAGATCACAGTGAAACACACAGAGCTGCATCAGTGGAGGTGGGTTAGTTTGTGAGGCTGAAGAAGATCAGCAGCTGTTAGCGGTTAGCAGCTAACTTAAAAAAGCAGAACAGCAGCTGTTGGCAGCTAACTCAAAGAAGAAGAACAGCAGCTGTTAGCAGTTAGCAGCCAACTCAAAGAAGAACAGCAGCTGTTTGCAGCTAGCAGCCAACTCAAAGAAGAAGAACAGCAGCTGTTAGCAGTTAGCAGCTAACTCAAAGAAGAACAGCAGCTGTTTGCAGCTAGCAGCCAACTCAAAGAAGAGGAACAGCAGCAGTTAGCAGCTACCTCCAAGAAGAAGAACAGCAGCTGCTAGCAGTTAGCAGCTAACTCAAAGAAGAAGATCAGCAGCTGTTAGCAGTTAGCAGCCAACTCAAAGAAGAAGTATAGCGGCTGGGTCAGGGTCTGATGCTGGTTGGGGTCTGATGCTTGGTCGAGACTTGAATCAAATAAATAATAAAACTCCATCCTGTAACATCACAACGAACCTGCAGCTGTTTGTGGTTCGGGTGTGTCACTCAGGAAGTGTGCCATTGAGTGTGACGTTTGTTTGTATGAACGGTTCAGTGTGACATCACAGGCTGAGCAGTCGGACCTTTCAGATCAGGTTTGTTTGTCCAGGCGATGACAGAGTAACACAGATCATGTTATCACATGACCACAGCAGGAGTGCCGAGTCGGTCGGACCACCGCGTTCACCTCTTTATCTGTAGACGTCACAGCTGAAAGTGACGACAGAAAAAAAAATTATGTTTGATTTTAAATTGCTCCAGAATCAGCTGCCAGTTTTTACCCAGAAGTGATGTCACAGTGATGTCATAGTGATCTTTGTGTGGTGGTCTTTGTTCCGTTGAGTTGGGTGTTTCCATGTGACCCTGAAGTTTGTGCGAGCTTCGGTGTACTGGTGACCTCATTAGTCAGTCCCACGCTCTCAGAAGGACCAGCGAATACCTGGATGAACAAACTGTTGCAGAGAGAAACTCCAGAGACGCTGTGACATCACAGCGTGAGAAGACGGCTGCGCTGTCTGACCTGAATCCTCTTCATGTTCTGTCTGTTCGTTTCATCGAGTTCGCTTCAGGTCCAGACGCCGTGTGATGTCACTGAGGGGGCGGAGACTCTGAATGAAACACACTCATATCTTTAATTATTTATTGTTATAAGAACACACACACACACACACACACACACTCACTCATTCACTCACTCACACACACACACACACACACACCTACCTCCACCTCGTGAATGTGATGATTAAATGTTTTATGTCCACATAGACGTCACTTCCTGTCTGCTGACATCACTTCCTGTATCTCTCTGCAGACATCACTCTTCAGTGGTTGATCCAACACTCCAGGACTAAGAGGAGTTCCTGAGAGCAGACACGCCCCCCAGCAGAATAGGCCACACCCACCTGCCCTAACACACACACACACACACACACACATATACACACACATACACACTCTTTGATCACCTCCCCTTCAGAAAACTTTGCTCATAAGCCCCACCCTCTCCCATCAACCCTATCCTGACCCCCCGTTACTGTCCGTTACTTCTGACCTGACACACCGACGTCCCCTTTCTGTTTCCTGTTGAACCGAATATCAAACTGTGACGAGCCTCCTCATCTACTTCCTGTTTCCTCTTAACACACAGCACACCTGTGTGTTAGTACACACCTGTGTGTTGGTGCACAGGCAGTTAAGAGCAGATGTCCATCAGGATCTCAGCTGACCTTTATCTTCAGGTCGTGCGTTTCACTGACTGGTGCTTCTTCTCTGTAAAGGTCTGTCACAGGTGACGTCACCATCTGGTCCACAGGTGATATTATCTGAAGTTAAAGTTTCACCCAAATCACTGAACATTTTCAGGTTCTGCAGATCCTCAGAAAAACTTAAAAAGAAGCTTCATGAATTGAAAAATAAAACCTGAGCTGGTTTTAAATCAAATTCTCTGCAAGATGTTCAGACGCAGGATTTTATCCATGTTTTTATTTTGGCTTTGTTTTGTGAAATCCTAAAATAATTTATAACATGTATTTTTTAAAAAAATAATTTATCGAGTCCATCCTCTGAAACCCGTGAAGGCAGAGTGAGATGGAAACTAGCTGACGGACGCCACGTAGTTCCCAACAGGTCGTTTTTTATGTTAACGTTAACACTTGGGTGAAAATCGTCTTTAACACAAAGAAACTAATGTTTTATTTTTTCTGCTCTTTTTTATTTTAAAATTGGTCTTAAATTTGATCCTGAGTGATGTCAGAAAGTTTTAAAAAGTTTTAATTTGTCTCGAAGTTTCAACAGTCGAAAACAGTCGACAGTAAACTCTGTGATGTTCAAATGGATCAGAAGAAGAAATCAGATTTTATATTTTTATGTTTGATACGTGAAACAGAAACGTGTCGTCGGTGCGTCTTCACAGATCCACACAACCTGAACAACTCTTAACATTGTTAGCATCGTTAGCTGGAGCCTGTTGTGTGGATCCTCAAGTTTTCCCATGATCCTCCACTCCCTCCTGCCCCCCGTAAACACTGAGGCTCCTCTTCCTTCCTCTTCCTCCTCTTCCTCCTCCTTGTCTCTTATAAACGGCTTGTCCTCCTCTGTATTCCCTCTTTCCTTCCTTCCTTTCTTATTTTTGGATGTTACCTACTTTCTCCTCGTCGCCAAGCCCCGCCCCTCACCGTCTGTCAGCCTCTCTCCAGCCGAGCGAGGGATTAAAACTTTTTATTGCACTGTTGATTTTGTTTTTGTAAAATATTAATAATGAGAATAATGTTAATAATCTTCTTTTTGAGACATAACCTGGTCGGTCCAGATTTAACAAAGTGGTACGAAGAAGAAGAAGAAAAGTTTTTTCCGTTCAACGTTTTTATTTCTTTTTTATCTGTATTATTTTTTTACTGTTTTTTTTTTTTTTCTTTTGTTCGACTTTATAAGTCTGATGTGTCAGTGTTTTCTGTTCTGAGACGTCTGCTGATTGGACCGGGGCCGTCACCTGATCAAACACAACGTTCACGTTGTGATGTCATGAATTCATCATTAAAACGCAGTCATGTTAAATGTTAGTTTTATTTCCAAGATTTTTTGGTCACACATTTTATTTAGGCGATCCTCGCACTCATTAAATGCACATCCTCTTCATCAGATCATGTGATCAGAGTGTCAGTCACACCCCTTTGTACAAAGGTCGTCATCCGCTTTACGCTTTCATCCTCATTCTGCGTTTATTTCCTGTTTGTTTCATTTACAACACGTTCGGACGTGCCCTGGTCCTGACAGCAGCCAATCAGATCGCAGAACAAACAGGAAAAGGAAGGAACATTTACATGTCTGTTTGTTGTTCTGTACTGAGATCATTTTGTTTCAGAGCGGTCAAACTGTCAGCACTGAGATTAAATCTGCCTCACACTGTCAGGTTGAACACGATCCGTGCAGCTTCACAGTGACCGCCACTTCACTTCCTGCTCCGCCCGTTTTATCAAGGAAGTAACTAAAGATTATTTTCAGTATTTTCATGAACCTGCTGAAAGTCTGCTGATGTATTAAAAGTCTGTCACGTGTCCCTGGAATCGAGACAACAGGTGGTGTGTTATGTCCAGTTTACTGTGATGTGACAATACAAAAGACGAGGAAGTTATCCTTATATTTCCTGTTGATTATCTCAGCATCCATTTTACACGGGGTTACGAACCCCAGCTGAACTCATTCAGTCAAATCAGTGGTCAGTTTTTAAAAATCACGCCTGCTTCATGGCTCCAACATGTTTTACAGACGTGTGGACCTTCAGCGGAGAGCAGGTGTGTCGGAGTGAACCACCTGAGCTGAGCTGGTGACGTCTCAGTCACGAGCATTCTCGTGGGAAAGGATGTGAATTCAGTTTAAGTTATAACTCCTGAGAATTCAAATTCATCTCCCAACAAGGTGAGATTGAACCAATGACAGCAGGAGATGAAACTCAGAGTTTGATCCTGTCACAGTCGTTTATAGATGAAGTCTTTCAGGTGTAGTTTATCTGATGGAGTCCAACACCTGTCATCAGTGAGTCTTTCACACACAGGTTATCCTGATAATAATATTTAGTGACCAGCAGCTGAAGCTGTCAGACGACCGTGTTTAACCCGACAGTAGGAGGTTGATACTTGGAGCCGTCGGTCTGAAGCAGCCGGAGATTCACTGATCAAACAACAACAAGCACAACTCACCGACCGGACAGCGTTTAACTCAAACACGTACAAACTGAACTGAAAATCCTCTCCGGCTGCTCCAGCATTCAGGTTCTGGTGTTTTCTGTCTGACTCCTCCTGATCCTCTGGTGACATCATTGATCTGTTGATCAGCCAGCACAGTGATTATTTCTTATCAAGGCCGCCAGACTGCAGCGGGAGCTTCAGCGTCACACGTCGTCTTTTTTTAATATTTGAATAATATCCAGCAGAGACTTAACGTGGTGTGAAACAGGATGTTGTGATGTAGAGACACAGACTCAGAGAGGTTCAGTACGCTTCAGACAAACTTGTTTAAAGAATGATGGCGTCCTGTTTGAACACGTCTTAAAGCTCCAGTGTGTCAGAATCTAATCTAATGGTTGTGTTCTGGTTCCCTCAGAATGAGACGTTTATATCTACACGGGGAGCAGATCCTCGTTTACAGAGATCACCATGTTGCACCGCCATGTTTCTACAGTAGCCCAGAACAGACCAACCAAACACGGACTGTAGATAGAGACATTCATGTGTTCATGTCGTAGGTGGGGGGATGAAGAGAGATGACACTAAATTAACATGCCACTCCTGTAAGGAAGAAACCATGAACAGTTGAGACGGGTTAAGAGCACACGCTCAGACGCCTCTCAGACATTCCTGGTGCTTCATTCAGACGTTCACATCAAACATGACACATAGAAGTAAGACCCATGTTTTCGTAAATGGTTGGACGCCGCTTGTCCAATTACAGTGTGGGAAGAAGATTTCAGGCACCGTTTGATCTGACAAGCAGTTTGAAGCGTATTGACGTCCTCAGGCCACCAGCTCGATCCAGTTTCCTAAATGTATTTTTTAGTAATCCTGTTAACACTAAAACCGTCTTGTGTTCATTGTTTGAGCGCAGAGGAACGTGAGGTCAGACCCTGAGGTGGACACGTCTCCTGGTAAACTCTGATTCACCAGCCACTTTGACCAGTTTACCAGCTGACAAGTGTCCGTTACAGCCAAGCGGCACCTTCAGACGACCGCTGTGGGTATTTATCAGGTCCAACGTGTGAATGCTGAAGTCTCCCCTGCAGCTGTGTTCTGATTGGCTCTGGTCTCTTCTGTTTGCATGCTAAGGGCAGGGATCGTATTTATGTGGGACCTGATGAAGGAACTGGTTAATCTGGTGCAACCTCGCCAATGAGACAGCCATAATGCAACGAGTCGACCTGAATATTAACTACAGATCAGTAAAGTAAGGACACAACAGGAAGTCTACTACAAACAGTGCAATAAAACAAACTGTGTCTTCACATGCGACTTCCTGTCCGAGGACAATAACAGAATGACCATGTGCTAACAGAACTTATCACAGATGATTCGCTGCTTTATGGTTGTCGTGTTGGAAAGTCTGCCCAGATTTTTTAATGACGTCCTGTGATCCTGCACAAACAAACTCTGTGATCCTGTATGCTCGTTTCCTCATCAGAAAACGCAGATCTCTGCAGTCACCGCCAGAACACGACAAATCCAGACAGAACGCTGAGCGCCACAAAACCAGACGGATCCTCTTTGTCATCACGTCGAGAAAAAATCAGAAACAATGAAACTGGAAACCTTTGACAGAATCTAAACTACCAACCTTTTTATTCTTAAGATAACGCTCCTTGGAATCATCATCATCATCATTTTATAACAACCTGAACAACCTATTGTAAAAAAAAACAAAAAACGTACAACTGAAACCTTAAAAACATGTCGACACATGAGCGTCAACCTCAGAAAGCTTTCATCCGAGTCACGCCATCTTTATCAGCAGATTTTGTTCCTCAGTCAGACTTAAAGATCCGATGTATCCTTACCTGCAGGACGTTCTGACAGTCCAACGGTGTTCGAGTTCGAGTTAGTTTGAGGTAGGGTTAAAGTTCGGGTCAGGATTAAAGTTAGGATTAGGGTCAGTACATTTCTGGTGGAAGGAGGGTCATGGATTTTCCTCCTCTGATAAATAAAGAACAGTTCCTAAGTATCATCTAATTGTCAAAGTTTCATAGAGGTGATTTATTTATTTATTATCTATAAAACAGAGTCATAGCCACCGATGGTTACATAAAAGGAATTAAAGTTTAAATTTGAAGAGAAGTTTGAGGTATCGTGATGAGTGGTGCTCTGGGCGGGTTCGTCTGGTTCTGTTGTTGATCTGTAGTTTTGGTGTAGATGCGTTGCCGTGTCGTGTCGAGGTTTGTACGTGCAGCGTGAACACGCTGAGACGGCCGGTCAGTTTGAACCTGTTTGTACATTATTGTTTAATTCAGTTGATATAATGTGTTTTAATAGAAACATGCTTGTGTATGATACTAATTAAATACTATGGAGAAACAACACGAGGCCGTCCGTGTCTTTGTTCTGAAGTATTAAACATATTTTTGTATTATCAGTCATTGATCACATTTTGGTATCCAACACATCAAAACAAACCAACAAATAAAAGAAACAACACACTGTAAATGAAACCATGAAAAAAATGCTATGTGAATCTGACTGAACTAAAACTAAAGTTTAAACTCTGAGTTGATGAGGTAATTAAATTATAAACATCAGTATCGATGCTACGGCAGCCTGAAGGCGACAATCAACACAAACAGAAACTACAAAGTTAAAACTGGAAATATTTTATATTCATTGCCAAAATATTCATTCACATCAACTGATCCTGTAGGTGTCTGAAATATGTTTTGTTGCCGACTCGTCCACAGCAGGAAGTGACTGAACCTCCACGTCTGTACTAGATCAGTTGTACTGTAGGTAACAATGACTGTAGATCAGTTGTACTGTAGGTAACACTG